CTGCCTCTCCTCAGACCTGGACTCTGTCTTTGCCACTTAGCTCTAGACCCTCTCCTTTCCCTCACCCCACACCAACTCTGAGAATGGCTGTTCCTTGTCATCTCAACTCAGATGTCACCCGTTCAGGGAAAAGCCCCCCTCACTTCCTTCACTGTAATCCTTCGGTTGTAATCCGAAGTCTGTGTGTTTGTTCACATGTTCTCTTCCTCCATGTTTCTGTCAGGCACAGTGCCTGGCACAGAAAAGACTATCAGAAGCTGTTGAATAAACAAACGAATGAATGAACTAAAACATGAAGGAAAGCCAGGCATGGTGGTTCAGTCCCAGCTACTCTGAAGGATACAGTGGGAGGATCCCTTGAGCCCAGGAGTTCAAAACCTGTCTGAGCAAAACAGCAAGACCTTGTCCTACCAAAAAGAAAGGAGAGGAAGAAGAGAAAAAAGAGAAAGAAAGAAAGAAAAAGAGAGAGAGAGAAAGGAGGGAGGGAAGGGGAAGGAAAGGAAGGAAGGAAAAGAGGAAGGGGGGAGAGGGAGGGAAGGAAAATACATACCTTAGTTCTTCTCCAAATGTCTGCCAACATTTCTCCCGTCTTGTGTTTGTACAAGTGATTTTGTTAAACCTATAATCCGGTAATTCACCCTGATCCAAGTGTAATTTCTACGCAATACGGATTTATGTCTATCTGGGCTCTATATGGGATCCCAATTATGGAAAAATGATAAACTATTTCATGTGATATATTATGTGTATTCAATATATTCTATGTATGTTGCATATTATGTGCTAGGTATAATACCTAGGCCAAAAAAAAAGTACCTATGCCCACATATACACATTATCCTAAATAATGTATTCTATATATTTTTGTGCAGTTTTCTTTCTTTCTTTAATCACATACCCTGAAAATCCTCCCCCACTACCACACACAGATTGATTTCATGTTATTAACAACTACATATTATCCTTCAAAATTAAAGTAAAAGAAGTTACCCTTGGTGAGATTCCCTTGGTGAGTTACCCTTGGTGGCAAGGAGAAACAGGAGTAGGATGAGGAGGGGACAGAGAGGAGTGCAGGATTGGAGTGGAAGAAAGGCAACTGGGGAGGAAAGTCAGGGGCCGGGGCTGCATTAGTCAGTAATAGTAATGAGGGGGACAGAAAGAAGGGGAGCTAGAGATGACCCCGGTTAGGGACAGGAAACTGGGAAAGATGGAAGCTCTCTAGGGAGAAGCAGTGCAGTATAGGCACCCACCAGCGGCCTGCGTGGGCTAGACCATGGCCTTTGGTGTAGCTGGCCCCAAAAGATTTCCTCTTTCCCCTCTATGAGGTCAGAAAATCTGTTTCCCAATGGTTTTGCCACATGGTTTTTCAACACTCAAGAGCATTTGCCAGTTTCCAAGTGGAACTTGTTTATCTCCATTCTGGAGTCTCAACGTTCAAAACAAACTTCCAAACAAAGGGATCCTGCCCGGTGGTTCTCAGCTCCATTCTCTTGCAAGGATGGAGCCAACCCCACTCTGCTCTCCTGATGACTTTCACAGCTGAGTGCACAGAGAATCCCACCCCCAGCTTCCTCCTGCGTCTTTCCCGCTGCCTCCAATTGTTGTGGACACCCTCATAGTTATAACTTTTTATCTTCTTTTAACCCTTTTCTCCCTAACCTTATAAACCTGCAGGGAAAATGACATTGTTTCCCCTACATAAGCCACCCAAGCCTTTTGGAGTGGTCCAAGTCACAATGGTCTCTCCAGCCAGATGCATCATTAAAAAGAACCCTAAACAAGAGGAACTGATCAATTAAGCTCCCTATGGTTGGAAAATTCTGAGGCGTATTTTTACAGCCACCACTCTGTAGAAAAGCCTAAAAGGTCTCCGTACTGGAAAATGACTAAATTGTTACTAAGGGCAGGTATATAAGTGAGAGATGATTCTAATAATTAGCATATACCAAGTCTATTTGCCATGCATTACACTACATATTTTAATATATACAATAATCCAAAACGTAATACTGTCACATGAAGAATTTGAGGGTTATGAAGGTGAGTGTCTTGCCCAAGGTGGCTTGTAGCTGGTAAGCCATGAGCTGGGATTAAAAGTCAGCTAGGCTGCAAACAGCACCTGGATGTTTAACTAGGCCACCATCAAGTTTCCCTAATTCATGTTTTACTTAGTGAATTATCTCCCTGATGCCCCAAAATTGGATATGTGCTCTATGAGGGTAGAGTTACTATCTGTCTTGTTCACCACTATATCCCCAGAAGCCAGCACAAGGCCAAAAGCAAAGCAGACACTTGATAAATAATTGCTGAGTGAATGTATCGAGGAATCAACATCATGCTTTTATTTGACTATGTCCAGTAATTTGGAATTTTCTGAACATTGAGGCATTAGGTGATAGCTAAAGTACGCTGTCAAGGGTATTCTAGGCCTCTGCCCTTTTTAACAGTAAACAGCTATCTATGAGTCACCTGGAATACTTGTTTAAAATGCTGATCAAGCCTAGTCCCAAATCATCAGAGAAATGCAAATCAAAACCACTCTGAGATATCACCTAACCTCAGTGAGAATTGCCCACATCGCAAAGTCCCAAAGCTGCAGATGCTGGCATGGATGGATCCCACTGCTGGTGGGATTACAAACTAATTCAACCTCAATGGAAAGAAGTATGGAGAATTCTCAAAGAACTAAAAGTTGATCTTCCATTTGACCCCACAATCCCATTACTAGGTATCTACTCAGAAGGAAAAAGAATCATTTTACCAGAGGACATTTGCACTAGAATGTTTGCTGGAGCTCAGTTCGCAATTGCCAAGACATGGAAGCAACTCAAGTGCCCATCAATCCATGAATGGATTAACAAACTGTGGCATACGTATACTATGGATATCCAGCCATAAGAAAAGATAGAGACTTTACTTCTTTTGTGTTTACCTAGATGGAGTTAAAACACATTCTTCTTAGTAAAGTATCACAAAAACAGAAAAACAAGTTGTCAATGTACTCAATACCAATATATAAACAAGTACATGCCCACACAAAAGGAAAAAACAAATATATTCTAGTGAGGGGAAGGGGAAGGGGCAATGGAAGAAGGGTGGAAAGGAAAGGAAAAAACAAATATATTCTAGTGAGGGGAAGGGGAAAGGAGCAATGGAGGGAGGGTGATTAAGAGATCTCACCTACGGCTCGGTGCCTATAGCTCAACCGGCTAAGGCGCCAGCCACGTACACCTAAGGTGGCGGGTTCGAATCCCCAACCCGGACCCGCCAAACAACAATGACGGCTGCAACCAAAAAATAGCCGGGCGTTGTGGCGGGCGCCTGTGGTCCCAGCTACTTGGGAGGCGGAGGCAGGAGACTCGCTTGAGCCCAGGAGTTGGAGGTTGCTGTGAGCTGTAATGCCACGGCACTCTGCCCAGGGGGACAGCTTGAGGCTCTGTCTCAAAAAAAAAAAAAAAAAAAAAAGAGATCTCACCTAGTGTGCACAATATGAGGGTATTCAGCACACTCCCTGGGTGAAGGGCGCAAGTACAACTTGAACTTTTCCTCAGACACAAAAACAATGCCATCTAAACATTTGTACCCTGCTATTAAACTGAAGTAAAAAATAAATAAGTAAAATGCTGAGCAAAGAAACCCAGAGGCTGGGAATCTGCACTTGTGCAAATCTTTCAGGTGTCTGTGATACATACAAAACTTTGAGACCACTGTGAAGAGGTGAGGGCTATTTTTATCCCATTGGACAAAACTCCTAATAATCTATCAAAATGTGTTTCAAATCCATTGATCCATTGACCTACCTAAAGATTTTTTAATCTCTATCACATCTTTGGGGTCATAAGCCATATTAATTTTTTCCACCCCATGGGTAGAAACATCATATTGACATAAAAAGTGTACTTTCCCCAGTTTTAATAAGAGGGTGGTTACCTAACCTCACCCTGACATCTCAGACTCACACATGGCCAAGCTAAAGTAAGACGATCTAGTCCAGTTCTGCCACAAGATGCTGTCCTAGACGCTATTTCCTTGCCTGTAAGTTGAAGGTGTGAGCGTTCACAGCTTTTTGGATCTACACATGCTCGAACCAGAGTCACTCTATAGGTAGGGATCATGTGTCCGCTCAGTCTTGTTTTTCAACACTCAAAAGTAATGCCTCTGCGAGCAGGAATTAGGTTCAGAAAGTCATGGGATAAGTAGTCACAGGAATGTAAAGAGCCCCACCCCTTTGAATCAGTTGTGACCAAAAAATAAATTTCTACAATACACACCTATAAGAAGTAATTACAAAAAAAAAAAAAACTTTTGGGCAAGAATTAGTTGACCACACAAACACAGGTGTGGATCTGTGAGGTCTACTCTTGAGGCCAAGTGCCTGCTGTTCTCAGATGGCCACAGGTTTCAGGTGGGGGTGCTTCTGCCGTCTATTCTTAGGGCTGCTGATATTAGAACTAGAAAGGACCTGGGTCATTCTGTCAACAGATATTTATTGATATTTACTATGTTTCCAGCACTGTTCTAGATATTGGGGACCCAGAAGTGAGGCCTACTGACACTGACAGTCAAGACCCATTCCTTCACGGTGCTAACATTCTGGGGATGGGGGGGGGGTGATAATTCTAACGGATGAGTCAGTGGTAAGTAGCATCAAAGTTAGGAGGCTGGAGGCATCCCCCGGTGTTTCATCCTCTTGTGCAGCCTTGCATTCTGCAGTGGGTTAGACGAGGCAGAGACAGCAGTGAGCTACCAGCTCAAGTCTACACTGCGTTGAGTTTGTCAACAGCAGGGCTGGGGTGGAAACTGTCTTCCTGCAAAGCCAGTCTTGCCTTCACAGCCCCTCCCAAGGATAATTCTCTCCCCTAGCTTTGAGCCCTTAGACATCAGTACTGACCTAGAGGAAACCAGAGCTCAAGCTCCCCCTTGCTGGTCCCAGGATACCGGGTCGGTCCTGACTCTACCACACCCCAGGACCAGACAGAAGCCCAGAGGGGCGGGGCCTCGGACACGCACCGGCGCGTCCAGCAGGTGGCAGCAGCGAGCAGCCGCGCCCCCCGCGCTGCCAACCCGAGAGCCCGCATCATGGATGTCGAGCTCCCCTATTTCGCTTTGCTCGCCCTGGAATTCCAGACCCTAGAAGAGGACCAGGATTCATGAACCGGTCGCAGGGGCCGGGGCAGGAGCCTCTGGCTCCCGACGGTGGCCGAGAGGTGGGTCCTGGGGCGGGTCGCTGCTCCTTGAGGCCGGGCGGGGACGCTCTGCCCCCGCCCTGCCTCCCTGTGGTCCACACCCCCTTTGGGATCCGGAGCCGCTGGGCTGGAATAGTCCGGGGTGCGCGCGAGCAGGCTCTGCCAGCCCCGCTCCGGCCCGGGATTCGGGGCTGAGGAGCAGGAGGACAGAGGCGCCCGTGTCCTCCCCCCCTCCTCCACCTTGCTCACACCTGCGCCAATTAGTCCAGTCGCCTTCAAGGCCAGTGGTTACAGCCCAGTCCGAGAAGGGACAGCAGAGGGAGAGCACCTGAGGATACAGAGCTGGCACTGGACTGCCTTTTTCAACCCCTAGGTGATGAGTGCGGTTCAAAGAACGGAAAATTTAAAAAGCAACCCGGGCCTCCGTATTGAATGAAAGACCCAGTGCGAAGACATCACCATGAACACGAGCAGTAAGTGGATCCTCCTCTCCTTTGCCATGGGAACAGGGGTGGGGGCGGGAGGTGCAGGAGCCTGCGCTGCTGGGGCTGCCTGGAAGGAGGAGGGAAAACTGGCATCTCTGGACACATGACCCCCTAGACTCCTTTGGGGGGTTTTCTGTGCTCCTGGACAGAGAGACAGCTTTTGGGTCTGGCTTTTCGTGATCATGTTGCCAATATTTTATCAGCGGCGCCAGTTGCCTCTGCTGGGAAAACTGTTTGTCTCCTTCTAGCAATGCCTGGGAGGCCTAGGAAGCAGTCTGTGGCCATTGTCTGACTGTGGGGTCTCTGCAGAGACCTCCCTTCACACATCTAGAAAACGGTGGAGGACCCTGTTTGTCCCGAGCTGGCGAGAGCAGGGAGACAGGCCTGCAGGCCGGCAGGCAGGTGGGCTGGTGGGTGTGGGCAGGCAGTGGGATGGGAGACAGCAGTTTAATAAAAAGCCACGTTTGGATCTAGAGATTGTGAGAAGTCCAGCTCCGGTGTGCCTGCACCCAGTGGCCCCAGGCTGATTTTGCTACATACTTAGGAGCTGGTTATCCATCCTTGAGAACAAGAGAAACAGAACAGAATTTGCCCAAAGGCTCTAAGATGCCAAAAGCAGCAACTGCTAGCAGAGCCAGGACCAGACATTTTGCTGCCAGGTTGGGCCTCAGCAAAATGCAGTGCAGGGAATGCAGTCAGAAGTACAAGAGGCAAGGCTGTTTCTCTTCAGTGTAGAGCCTTTCACCATGGGCACCAGCAGGGGTGCCCTGGGAGGCATGTAGGCTTCAGGTCTCCCTCTTCGGCTGTCCCTCTAGCTTGGCTTGTCTGGGTCTTTCCAGCCTCAGGTGGGGCTGTTAAACCCCAGGAGCTCTACAAACATACACTTCCCCAGGTCTCTGACTTTGTTATCATGCCCTTCTCTACCTCTCAGACTGCTCATCTGTAAAATGATAAGGGTTGAATTAGAAACCTTCTAATCAAAGAATCTACAAGTTTGTTTTTTTCCAAAAGAGCTAGAGCTGAGCAGTAAGATCAGAAACATCAGAACCTTACCGAGGCTGTGTCCTGTCAAAATCCAGTCCCTCCTTACCTCTCCTCCCCACCACAACCATTTCAAAGCTGTTGGCATAGAGAAGAGTAAAAAACAAAGCAAAAGGCACTGAAATGGAAATGAAATATATTTATTTACTACATATTTGTATGACTCATCTCTCTGCTGTCTTCCTTTGTGTATTACATATCTATGCTAAGCAAGCCACCGTGGCTGGACTCCCTCTGCCTCGTCCAGGAAAAAATTTTGTCTCTTGATTTGACAGGCTGGAATAGTGTTTTGGCTTTATAGCAGGCTCAGGAAAAGAGCAAAATCCTATAGACCCTGTCACCTAGTAGGCCACATGTTTGCATTTGCATGTTTTCAGGCAAATAAAGATGTGAATTGCCTGTCACTTCTCACTATCTCTAGAAAACAAAATGTATTTCTGAGAGTCCTTTCCCACTAAGTAACAGAAGAGAATGATGGCTCATCTATTTTTCAAGGGACTAAGAAAGGAAACAAGCAACTGAATCTGCCCCTTTCTCTCTCTGGAATCCTAAGGAAATCTTGTCCTGTTAGCAGTTAGCAACCCTGAGTATTCCCTGAAAGAAGGAAATGGAGATTGTCCTTTTTTTTTCTTAAAGAAATAATGACCCATAGAGTTGAACATTGCAGAAGATGAGGTGAGGACTGCCAAAAATGCCATCCTGGCCTTATATACTTTGTCTAAGTAGGGAGGGTTATGTGGATGGGGCAGAAATCGTGGGAAATGAACAGAGCAGAATGGCTCAGCCGTCTTGAGAGTCAGAGTCCCTCCTGAGAGGAAGTGCTTCTCTCAGTAGGTGCCTAGGGACACTGTGAGGAGACTCAAACTTAGGATTAGGGGCTGGACTGAGGCATCTTCAAGGTTCTTCCCAACCCTGGCTTTGCAAAGGGAGAGAATAGAAATTGGGCCTCTGAAGGAGAGGGACAGGTCACAGGGTCATAAGGACTTGGTGCTGGCAGGAGGCAAAAATGCTGTCCTTTAAGATGTGAAATTTCTAGCTTGGTCCTCGTGCCTGAAATTGTCCCGAATAGGACCTTGTCCTCGGTATTTCTTTCCCGTCCATGTATTTGCTCCTTATTCTCCACCAAGCCACCATGCTAAGCACTTCCCTGCTTGATCTCACCAGACTCCCCACCCGCCTGGACAGATGAGTATTATTGCTCCAGCTCTATAGGGGAAATCTGATGGCTGATGTTCAGTGACTTCAGGTCATGCGGTTAGTTGTTAGATTAGGAAAGATACTTGGACGTATAGCATACATGACAGTGAGAGCAATTTTTAATCAATGGTTCAGATGGCACCACTGAAGTAGGACAAAGCATGAGGTCACAGTGTCCCTCTAAACATATACAGGGGATTGGTTCCAGGACCCCTATGTGTACTCAAGACCTATGGCCAGCTCTGAAGAATCCATGTATATATCAAAAGTCAGCCCTCCCAGTCGAGTTCCCTGACTACTGTAATTTCCATCCATGTTTAACTGAAAAAAAAAAAAAAAATCCGCATATAAATGGACCCATGCATTTCAAATCTATGCTGTTAAAGGATCAACTCTATAAAAAATTCCAATCACTTCATGAGAAGAAGAGCACAGGGCTCTGGTCTTGGGCAGCAATAAGGGTCAGTGGAGCTCAAGCCCTGGAATCTGGGTTCCAGTTTTCTTCTTTTCACTCATTAGATGTGTGAGCTTCATCTAAGTAGATGAGGTGATTCTCATCTCCAAAAATGGGAATGATGCAACGTGAAACGATGTGACATACATTAGCTTGGAATGGAGACCAAATGTTACCATTTCATGCAGTCTGCAGAGGGTAGACCTTGGCTGTGGACGTGGCTGGGATCATGTCAGTAATGGATTGGTCACACTGCCATGATTATGGGGGTGGTCTGTGTGGCTGTCGTCGTTGTTAACTTTATGACAGTAGCAGGCGGGTCACCCCACCTCTTGGATGTCATACCTTCGTTATGAATTGAGAAGTGTATTGCAAGTATGATTTTTGAAATTAAATGAGATTATAAGAGAATGCTTTGTAAACATATGTAAGTTGTTTTTATTAATAAAAACCCATTTCTCAGATGACAAAAACAGGAGAGTGCACAGTCAGTGACTCTTCAGTGTGAATTTTAGTTTCGTCGGAATTTTTTCTTCTGAAATCCAGCTGAGCATTAGCACACCAAAAACCAGGAACCTGAGAGAAAGAGGTAATTTGGGAGATGATGGAGTAGGGTGGTAAACAGACCTAGTAGATGGCAGGTGCGGGCCGGCCCTCGGACTCAGTGAAGGAGGGGAGAGAGGGTTCCTTGAGGAGGGAGCAGATACCCCAGACATGAGCACACCCAGGCCAGGAGGGCCTGGGCTAGTACTAGTGGGTACCCTCCTTGGGTGAAGGACTTCAGGGGAAGGGAAGGGAACAGGCCAGTCATGCCTCTTTGCCTGCTGTAGGGTGGCTCCTGCTGTAGGCTGGCTCCTGCTGTAGGGTGGCTCCAGCTCCTTGCCTTTCTTTACTCTGCACCCTTCCGAACTAATTCTGCCATCTGTCTCGAGGCCTCATGAGGCAGCCCCTAACTGATCTCCCTTCACCCACTCTAGCCACTTCCAATCATTCTCCCAGATCCACCCTCTGCATCACCTTCTGCCTCAAATGCACATCCCCTGCTCTTAAGATGAGAGAGGAAAAACCTCAGCAAGGCCTGCAGGGCCTCGCGTGAATTGCACTATTCTCTGGGTCCTGGTCACATTCACCTCTTCCCATTCCCTCTGGGGGCTTGCCCCCAACAACATTGCCAGCACTGTTCCCTCCTCCTGGAAAGCCCTTTCCCCACCAGCACCCTTCACCCAGGCTGGCCTCCTCACCCTCCCCAGCCCCCAGTCCAATTCATGTGCCCCTGACACATGCTTCTAGCACACCCTGGCCCTGTTCCCTCGAGCCTGGCCCTGCCATTGCTCACTCTCCACTGATCACTGCTTTGAAGCTCATCTCCCACCAGACAGCAAGTTCCATAAGAGCTGTGGCATGCAGCCCCTGGTAGTAGTATGGTCTGGGGCATTTCTTCATTCTGGTTTCTACTTTGGCCATTTTCCTAAGCCCACAGAGTGAGGAAGGAGTTGAATCCAGATCACTCACTCTCCTCCAGTCCCCAAGCCATGGGGTACCACCCATCTAATATGCATACTCTAAGGCAACAATAAGTCTTAGATTATTTCTTGTTCAAGTCTCCAGTTCCCATATTGGCTCCAAGAGTTCCCCAAAGCCAGGGGAGACTGGGTGTGCCCCAGTATGCTGGGGTCCCTGAGCACCAGAGTTACTTCTCTTTCCCATAAAATGACTTGTTCCTCATTTGGATCACAACTCCCAGAGCTCCCGAAAGCTATGGCTTTCCAGTGTATGAAACCCAGAACTGGCTCATCCTTGAGGTTGGCAAGCATCACGTAAGCATGAACAATGGTACCGGGTACCATTTTCCCTCGTATCCTAGGCTTCCTCCTGCCTTCTGCCTTCCGTTGGTCTTTAGCATGGATTGACATACTAACAAATTACTTTTTGGGGGGTCAACTTTGTTTTGTTGAAGAGAGTATTGAGAGATCATATAACCCACACAAAGGTGTCCTGGGCGCAGCAGTACCACATCCTGAGGCAATAAGTACCTGAGCTTTAGGGTTATAGACTCCTGAGTTCAGACTCAACATCTATCAGGTACTCCCTTGTAATCATGGACAGAATTGATCATGTCTCTGAGCCTGAACGTTATCCTGTATAAAATGTGAGCATTAAAATGCCAGTGTGCAGGGCACTTGTGAGGATTCAGTGAAATAATGGGAGAAACTCACTGGCATTGGGTCTTGGTGAATGGAGCTGAGCCTGAAGTTGAATTGGCCATTGAGTAAAGCGAAGTTCTGAAATGATGGTA